CTGTTGTTTGGTTTACTGTCAACTTGGATGTGGGTATAGTTGCGATGATTAAAGAAAAGAAGGCCAGGGTTGCCGACAGGATGAACCAACTGCTCCATCTCTGAAGTCTTGTCAATGTTCTTCAGGGTGTCCACTGAAAGCTTGGAGCTATCAGGAGCGCACTGAAGGAAAAAAAAGTGCTCTATTTAATAGAGCTTCATACCAGGTGTGGCCCCATTTACCCCTTGAAGATGTCAAGCCTTTTTTTTCTCTTGCTGCATATGAAAACTTTACTCTGATAATGCTGGCAGATTAACCATTTAAAATTCAAAAGCTGTTATAGGATCAGTGAATTAGGAGAAAATCACGTCTCTAATTTCCAAATTACTTGTTTTAAACATGTTTAATACACTTGATTTATTTGGCATTTTAATGAGGCCTGTGTTTACCAAAAGATATAGCTAAAAAGATCAGGCCAAGCAGTTTGTGCTTTTAAGTATAATTACGCAGTTGCTTTGAAAGATATCAGCCATAAAATACATGAATCTTTTGTTACACTTTTCTCTTCAGACCAGTTTAAATGTCTCATACCATCCTTGGTCTGTCCATTTGTTTTTTTGTGTAGCCATTGAAAGGAGAGTTTTCGAAGATTTTGCTGATGTCTTCAATCGTGTAGACACAGACAGCACTCATCCCCCTGCAGGGAGACACATAGTCAGCAGGTTTGTCTGACACATTTAAAGCAGAATGCCTGAAAAAACAAAAACAGCTGACCATACAGACTGAAAAAAAAGAAAAATAAACATTTTACTTCTGTGTAAAAATTCCAAATCAAGCAGCCAAGTCATTCTGGTTTAAACCTTTGGTTACTGTGACTTTATCCATGTGATGTTAAACCAGTCATGATCATATTTTGAAAAACAGCACATGACTCAGTTACAATAACTGTATTATAACTATTATTTCATGTTAAATCAAATGTAGAAATGTGAATAATATTACCATAACAATGACATATATTAACTATGATAGAGTAGAAGCATCAAAATCAATGATAATAGTCCTACCATTCATTTCTAAAGAGTGCATAGATCTTTGTATACTGCCATCGATCTGCATCCACAGTGGAAACATCCACCAGCTCAGAGAAATGCTGTTTTCTCTCCTGATCTCCACAGAAGAGCCTGGCATTCATCTGGGATGTCCAAGTATACTGCAAGTTGTTCTTAGGACCACCAACATCTGTCTAGAAGCAATGGACAGTCAATCTATCATTATATATTTGTTTGTTTGTTTATTTATTTATTTTTTATTGTTGGTGGCACTTAATACAAATTTTCTAACTATTTTGGTCTTACCATGCAAACCTGGGTCACAAAGGGGAGCCACATTTCACTGAACAGTCCATCGTCTTTGGTTTTCTCCCTATAGAAGCCATAAACTCTGTTCTGGGAGGGATCCTCTTCACGTTTGCTGAGCACCAATCCTACATAGTGCTGCTCTAAACATTGAAAGAGAAATATTTATTTGAACCCAAACATTTATAGTGATGTGATTTCACTAAATAAGGTCTCTGTGGCTCTAACTTTATGAAAATACCTTTATGGTGGTTCTTTGGCCCCACTCTTGCTTTACCAAATTTGTGAATGCCAACAGATTCATCAGATCCAGAGCGTGTTATGTAGAGATCTGTACTTTGTTTAGATTCTGGAACAAACAGTGGCAAATTGACGTTTTATAGGGATGTACAAACAGGGAGAAACTAGTTCAATATTATAGTAATAGGGAGAAGAAGCAACCTTTAAAAGGGACTGATTTAAATAAAAGATGTTAGTAGTTTTGACAAAAGTACAGACTTTCTGTAAACACACAAGAAGGATTAAAATTACAGACTCATAGAAAAAAGTGAAAGAGGAAGGAGGGATTCATCAGCAGATTTATTCAAAAGCATCTTGTATGTAAAAACACTCACCTGCAAGGGCCGACAGGTCACCCTCCTTTATGTTAAATGAGCTTATATCTTTTATATCCTTGCATATTGGTGGCTGCTCTGTTAAATTCTATTAAAAAGAAAGAACAGTTTATCTTAATGTATCCCAACTAATGTACATCACAGATGATAAACATGTATAGCCAACACCCAGTATCTAACAGATAGTTCAAAAAATTATAAAGCAAAAACAAATATGGCCAAACAGGAAGTGCTGTGATGTAATTGCTTTGTTTGCAGAAGAGGGCTGTTTCAATTAAACCAAAGTAGAAGTAGCTTCGCTTAGTATCAACCCTGAGCAGAAACACCACAACTACCAGTTCCCAGTATTATATCCCAGTATTATATCAGTTCTCTGTCACAGTACTCTGTCCTACCGAGTTACAGCAAACTGTTTCATCGTGAATGGTTCCACACACAAACAACTTTTTAGCATCTTCCATAAGGTGGGCCAAAGTGATGTCATAGCTGCAATTCTAAATAACAAGATGAAAATTGTTTGTTAGATTTCTTGAGTGTTCAAAAAATACAGTTTAACAAACGACTTAATTTTGCTCTGTTTATCTTTTCACTGCTTACCCTGTTGCAATTCTCCAACTGCATACGTGTTTGATTCTGTGGAAATACATAATGCATGACTATTACTTTCCCATGATATTAATATGACGATCCATTTATTTCAGAGCATTCAATACATCAATTTAGTGTGATTATACAGCTATGTTCTACCTTGTTCTGGTTTTTAATGTTGTAGGTATTTAGGTATGTTTTTCCAACAGCTAAGACAGTGTCCGGCTTCTCTTCTAGAAGAATCCGCACAGGTGGACCATGAAGAAGATCTAACCTATTCATTGCAGCTTCTAGAATTAAGAATAAAAAACAAACAAACATATATTAAAGGATAAACACAGCCAATGATGTGAAATTGCCAAGCACAGCACAAGGACAAAATGTTACTGTACAAATGTTTATACATGATTAACCTATTCTCAGTCCGTCTGGTCCTGCCTGGAACATCTCCCAATATCTATAGCATGTACCACAATGAGGCTCAACAGTTAACCCATTTATGTAGTATAGTGCTACCACTAAAGTCATATATTCTTTGTTTTTAATTACTTTTTCCCCATCATCCTGAGAATGAATCCTAAACACTTTGGGGATTCATTTTTGTTACTTTGTTACGCCCTCACACACATTTCAGAAATCAGAATGTGAGAGTTTTAAGGTTTTTTCAGTAATAAACTTGCTAATATGAGCTTTTAGTTATAAATATTAAGTTTATTCTGTGTTTAAAGGTGAAGGTTTTCTTTTTGTTTCAAACTATTACTTTTGTAATCTGAGAAGAAAAGTACACATCAGCAGATGTTAGTGCTTACTGAAAGTACAGGGCGTTGACCTGATGTTAATCAACTGACTGAAGCAATTTTTTGGTTTGCACACTTTTACTGTGAAAGTCAGTGTGCTTTATAAGCTAAATTACTTCTTCTAACTGCAGCAATGACGGGGCTTTCTGAAAAATGTAATCAAAAGAGCAATGGTCTCATATGATATAAAATGATATAAATATTAATGTTAATATTATATAATATATTAATTAGCTAAACCCAGTATGAACTCTATCAAATCCCTGAAACTGGAGAAGCTAAATGGAATTCAGTGTAAGTGTCAAAATGTGGTGAAAAAGTCAATAATTAAACTTCCACTAATTGAAACCCTAACATCGTTATTCTTTTACATGCATTCCTTTGTACATAGAACCTTTTAAACATTTCTTTAAATGGATGCAACTCTTTATTTCATGGGACACTTGACCAGGAAACAATGTTATGAAAATATAAATTAAAGCAACAACACATAAATATAGGAAATCAGAACAAACAAAGAACATTATCGAAGTCCAGCTTAGTAACACAATTTGCACTCTGCAGCTACAGAATTCTTTTTAAGTGCTTTGGGCTCTAACACACTTGTCCCATGAAATAAGACTTTAATGTCCGACCAAGTTGTAGAATTTGGGCACCGAGCATAAGCAGCTGCACATAAGTGATAGCAACTTACATAGATAAGAAGGAAATGTATCAACATGGCTTTGGGTTTTTTTTTACCACGATTGAGCAACTTCTTGGTATACAATAATGTCTGCAGCTGTTCAAAAACAGTCAGACATTCCTCAAGTTTGACTCAGAAGAGCCTAAAACATCTGTGTAAAGATTCTCTTTACATGTTAACATAGCATTCCAGGTGTTATTTGCAAGTATAGAAGAAAAAACTAAAGAAAAGGGGGCCTAAAACTGAACAGCGTGGGAGTCTTTCTGAAAAAAAAAAACAACAGGAAACTTAACGTCTGTTCATCCAAAGCCACGTGTAGACCCTTTTTAAGGGGTGCACAACCACCCCCTAAATTTCATCATAGCGTCCCTAAAGATAACTTTAGCAAAGGTAGTAATAATAATGCAGTTTTAGTATTATATTCTGACATTGTATTCTAATGTTATGTTAACAGTGTGCCTTATCATTAATAAATAAGACTTTTGTTGCAACAGCTGGAGAGACGAACATGAAGATATTTCATGACAAGTATCAGTGTTGGAGACTTAAAACACACTTTACCTGAAACATCCCAAAGGTGCAAACTATTCTCATAATACAGAGACATTGCTGGGGGCGCTGTCATCAAGTGTTTGCTTATGTAGCCCCCGAATAATGTAAAAATATACATTTATGTGCATTTTTTTCTATATAGCGTCAGAGATGATGATCTTCTGAGCCATATCTATGGTGGACACACACTTTAACGGGATTGAATAATACCTACTGTACGTTTGAAAGAAATACGTCGTGTTTTTGTCCTGAATCAAAATGATTCACATTGATTATAGTCATAGACTATAGACTTTAATAGACGTAAAGTATGCAAGGAAGTCACTTAAGATGATTAAGAAGAATTTCCCGATTTTGGGCTTTACGACTCATGTTTACACTATTTTTTATCTTAGTTAAAGAGAGAGAGAGAAAAAAAAAACATTTCCTACCTTTCTCTGTGAATATCATCCTCGGAGAACGATCGTTTCCCACAGCCAGACAACAGATGTGTAAAAAAAATAGACATGCCACTAATGAGAACCGCATCTTCCAGATCTCCAGGAACATATTATAAGATGGATCCAATAGTTCAGAAAATTATTTTCCCAATTACTTGTTCTTGATCTCGATAGAAAATAGCATTGAACGAGAAATGTGTTCAGATCTAGAGGTACTACACAGCTGCACCGCCCATATATGAGAAAGCCACGTAATATTTTTTTTTCACGCCTACGGCTACATTTTATGGTCTCATGCATGACGTTTCGAGAGGGCGCAAAGTCACAACAAGTCGTATCTTTTTCTAAGCACGTAAACAGGGAAGAGCAGAAAATGTGACCATCTTTAAAAAATTAAACAAAAGAGGAAATGTTTGAAGAGTCCACCTTTCTCCTTTGTATAGTCCAGCTCTCCCTAGACGCTGAAGTTAAGTAAAAAGCACTTGTGCTCTTGCAAGTCTCCTCTCTCCTTTCTCCTCCTAGAAATGAAGGAATTAGGAATTGAGACACTCTTTTGCCTGATGTACTGCGATTAATTTCTGCATCACAGTTAGTATGAATGAGAAAAGTAAACACACCGTATCCATATTTGCTTTTCCTGCCATATCCAGTTTGGGACTTGTGTCAAGCCAGACTCCAGTTTTTTTGGGAGGGAGCGAGATGGAATGAGGCACGGCTGGATCCTGTACTACCTGGGTGGGGGCGGTCAAAAAGACAACGATGTTAGTTTTTTACTCTTTATTTGTGTGTTTATGTATGTCAAGAGTGAATTTTCTAAGAGTGAGCTCCGAACTTAAAATAAATAGTCAGGTTGCAAAACGTGAAAATACTAAAGTCTGAGAGTGCACATGTGATGACTGATAAACATTAAAGGGAAATCTTAACAAAAGGATGCATGGATGTGACAGGTGAGACCTGGGTCTGGGAACCGCCCCTGGTAGGCGGGGCTGGGTTTTGCCTTTTATGAGCACAGGTACAGGTAGAAAACTCCGGTAGTGGTAGTAGTGGTAGTGGACTCCGCCACCTCTTAGTGAAGGGGTAAATAAGCAGTGAAGTAAGGAATGCATTACCATATTGGAAAGCCAGTCTGATTAGACTGAATGCAAAGTGGAAATACCTTAAACAACTGTTTGTTTTTTTTCGCATTGCTTGCTTATGGCCTCAGTTAGTCCAAAAAAAAACGATGACGCGGGGACCTTCTTGTGATGGTCAGGTCTCCTTGGTTTTTCAGTCTGATATGTCCCTCTTTTGCAATGTTCTGCTTGAGAACAAGAAGGTGATGGACCTCTTAGAGACCTCAGTAACTGGTGAGATAACCTATCAGAAAGGTTACCTATCAGTTTCCTATCGTGATGGCTATGCTCAATTATATGTATAGCAAATCCATCTTCACTACATGAAACATATTTTTTCATTAACTAGTGTT